TCGGGTTTGAAGAAGGATAGGGAGGGAATTATATAAAGGGACTTTTAAAAATGGGTTAGACATGTATGTGCATAGTTATGTGTGGATTAGCCTAACATGGACCAGCCAGCATGAACCAGCCTAGCATGGATCAGTCTAGCATGGACCAACATAATATGGATCAGTATAGCATGGATCAACCTAGCATGGACCAACATAGTATGGACCAGTGTAGCATGGATGAACCTAGCATGGAACAGCCTAGCATAGATCAGCCTAGCATCGACCAGCCTAGCATGGATCAGCCTAGCATGGACCAACATAATATGGACCAGTAAAGCGTGGATTAACCTAGCATGGACCAACATAGTATGGACCAGTATAGCATCGATCAACCTAGCATGGACCAGCCTAGCATAGATCAGCCTAGCATGGACCAGCCTAGCATGGATCAGTCTAGCATGGACCAACATAATATGGACCAGTAAAGCATGGATTAACCTAGCATGGACCAACATAATATGGACCAACATAGTATGGACCAACATAGTATGGACCAACATAGTATGGACCAACATAGTATGGACCAACATAGTAAGGACCTGTATAGCATGGGTCAACCTAGCATGGACCAGCCTAGCATAGATCAGCCTAGCATGGACCAGCCTAGCATAGACCAGCCTAGCATAGACCAGCCTAGCATGGACCAGCCTAGCATGGACCAGCCTAGCAAGCGCCAACGGTGCTGCTATACTCCACTGTTCTGTTGTTTTCATTTACTCTTTATTTATTTGAAGAGCTGAACCCATGTAATTTATTCAGCTCTAGAAACAGTGGAGGCTCGATCCTCCGTCCGCTACCTAGTTCAGCTAATTCATATATTTTTTAAAACAAGTTGATGATCGCAATAAAATATCACTGATTATGACTACTAACCACCAAAAATATAATTACATTTACCCCAAAATTCACGTGAAATAAACCATACGGTAAACAAACCCGTGGACTGGTGACTAAAGCTCTCGCTTCACACGGTAAGAAGTCTGGATTCGATTCCTAGCGAGGGTAGAAACATTGGACGTGTTTCTTTACATCGGTTGCCTATGTTCACCCATCAGTAAAATGGATACTTGGGTGTAGGTCGCATCCCGGGACAGAACTAACCTAATTTGCCCGAAATATTCAGCAAAACAAGCGGCTTTCTATATAGTAATATGTCATTGATGTCAGCTAAGGTTTGTATACCTTGTACATGTACTTGTAGAAATAAAATTATTATTATTATTATTATTATTA